AGAGGTTTTGAGTTCAATTCCTAACAACCACATGGTGACTCACAACCATCTGTAATGAGATCTGGTGCCCTCTTCTGGCCTGTAGGCATACATGCAGGCAGAACACTGTATACATAATAAATAAATGTTTTCTTAAAGAAAGAAAAATTAAAATTCACTAATTAATTGAAAATAGGTCTGGGTGTAGCTTAATTTGTAGAGTGCTACCCGGGCATGCACAAAACACTCACTTCTCTCAGGGCGATGTAAACCCTGGAGGTGGCGGCACTCCCCTGTGTCCACATCCCTGGAGGTGGCAGCACTCCCCTGTGTCCACATTCTTGGAGGTGGATGTAGGAAGACCAGAAGCTTAACGTCATTCCTAGCTACATAAAGAAGCCAGCCTGGACTACATGAGACCTAGCTTCAAAAATATAAATATGATAACATACCCAGGTAAGCCTAAAGCAAACATGCTCATTTAACTTTCTGAATAACTGGCTTTTATATCTTATACCCTTATACCAAAACGGTGGGGGATCTCTTGCCATATAGTTCTATAGTCAAAAATACTTAGGCACTGTGGAAGACAGTTCACCAGGTTCTTACAAAGCTAAATACACTCTGACCATTTGCTCCAGCAATTACTAGAAACCACTGGGTCCTTACTCCTGAACATTGCCACACAAAACCTGCACAGGAGGGGCTGGAGAGATGTCTCAGTGTTTAAGAGCCCTTGCTGCTCTTCCAGGGGACCAAATAAATGATGGCAGATTTAGACGACGGGCCATTAACTAGAGCTATCAAGCCATGAAAAGACAGAAAACTTCAATGTGTATTACTAAGTGAAAGCAGCCAATCACAAAATTATGAAAGCAGTTATGTTGATCAATGGTTGCCAAGGACTGAGAGAGAGAGAGGGAGAGAGAGAGAGAGAGAGGATAAATGGGGATCTGAGGGATTCATAGGACAATGAAAATACTCTACAGGCTACCATGAGGGCAGGCATGGGTCAATATCCAATTGTCCAACCAACAGGGTTCATCAAGAGTGCACTCCAGCGTGAACCAGGGACTCTGGTGAGTATGGCACTGATCTGTGGAACAAACACACTGCTCCAGAGAGGAGTGTTCAAGTGGACCAGTGGGAGCTGATAAGCAGGGAGGCAAAATGTGTTGGTGGGGAGTATGCAGGAGACCTTTGTACCTTCCTCCGATTTTTGTTGTGAGTTAAAAAACACTCTTAAATTCTTTATAGCCTTTTTAAAAAGGGACTAAATAGCTCAGATTTCTTCAGTGTTTTGGATGTCTGATCACCAAATCGTCCAAACTAAGGCAATAAACTCTTTCTACTGGAACCATGCTGAAAGAATAGTTGGGTATATTTGTGGTGTTTAAACTATAACCTCAGTGATAACAGATAACCAGCACTTGTGTGCTAAGCATTAGTCTAAAAACCACTTGGTTCCCACAATCGCACTATAAGGTAGATACTGTGCTCATCATCGTTTTATGAGTAAGGAAACTGAGTCAGAGTAGTGGAGTCATTTTCTCAAAGTCATACAACTAATAACCAGAGGTGCTGGAGTCCAGACAGACTGACTCACGGTCTGTGCTTAGCAGCAACCTAATGCCCTACTGGTGAGAACCAAGAACTCTGTGGCTCCACCCTCCTTCTAGTGAAAATGGGTGCTAGCTCTAGTCTTCATCATCTCTTTCCCAGAAAAGCCACCTGGGGAGACGCTAACACACCATATCTGATTCCCAGAAAAAAACACGAGGAATCTAGTGACAAAACAAACCTCATCCATGTCCAAGAAAAGTGTTTTTCTGGGTAAGCAAGGTGGCAGTGGGTAAAGGTTTAAGTTGGATCCCCAGGGTCTACATGGCAGAAGCAGAAAACTGACACCTGGAAGGTAGCCTGTGATCTCCACATTCGTATTGTAAGTACACAAATGTACACACACAAATATACATACATACATAAAACATTTTAATAGAAATGCTCTCTAAAATAGCCAAGAGGAATATAAGATGCCCATATTTAATTTTTAAGTTGTTTTCATTTGTGTGGGTGTAGATGTGGATGTGTGGACCTAACACACCATGACACACACATGAAAGTCAGAGGACAACTTGCTTCTCTAAGTCCTCTGCTTCCACCATGTGGGTCTTGGAACCCAACTCAGGTTCTCGGGCTTGGCATCAAGTGACTTTACTTATTCAGCCATCTCACCCACCCCCAGAATTTACATTTTAAACAATGGAATGTTTGAAACTAAATAATACATGTATCCACAGTGAAGTTGGTGTAAGATCATTAAAGTAAGACAGCAATGAAAAGCTTCATGCTGACACGAGACATGGAAACAGCATAAAAGTTCAGCTCAAATTCTTCGGATACCAGCAACATGTATAGAATGCCACACTTTAATACCTATCAGATTCTTGAGAAATGATGAATGATATGCCACTATGAATACATGATCTGAAGAAGCCAAGACAACGGTAGAAGAGACCTGGGGAATTTGCTCAAGTCATCTTCTACTTCCAGAAAGGACTAAAGCACAATTACACTTTTAAAGTTTTAGTGTAGAGGACTGGAGAGATGGCTCAGTAGTGTAGAGCACTGGCTGCTCTTGCAGAAGACCTGGGTTCGATTCCCAGCACCCACAGGGCAGCTCACAACCATCTGTGACTCTAGTTCCAGGAACCCCAACACCCTCTTCTGGCCTCCACCAGAATCAAGCACGCAAGTGGTGTGCAGAGACGTACATGCAGACAAAACATTCATATACACACACAAAATAATCAACTTTAAAAAAGCATCAGTTTACAGGAAATCTGTGAAGAGACATCCTATGCATAAACACTGACTGTGTTTCCGGAAGTTAAGCATCATCCATCATCCGTCCTGCTTTGATGGAGACTGTCTGTGATCTGTGTGGCCATGTTATTTCCAGAGACAGCTCATCTCCAAAGTGGCTCTAATAATATATGCTTAACGTGTTCTACAAAAGACAAGTTAATTAGTATTTATAAGCTACCTGGAGATAAATAGATTGTGCAAATAATACTCTGCAGTCTCATTAGAACTCTTATCTAAAAAAATAAATCAAGTCTTACAAACTATTACTCTGCCAACACTGTTTTGGTTCTTTCATTCGTGGGAAACATTGACCAAAAAACATGTAAAGCTTTGGCCAGATCGCTGCGAATCACAATAATTCTCTGAATATAATTTAGAAATCTTATAGTACACTGATAAGGTCTCAATTACAATTTTGTATCCATTACTTTTCAATATTTGCGCTTTTTAAATTCATACATCTACAGCTCTTGTCTTGGAGTGACAAACATCTGCTACCTCTCAAAATTCAGGGTCTACAACATTGAAAAATCTCATCGGGGAAAGAATTCATGTTTTCAAAACTAAACCTGTAATCAGTGGACCGATCAATGTGTCCCCATCATAAGTGACAGCAACCTGGCCCTGTCTGATGTGTCCACCTTATTATAATAATACAAATAATTAACATTATAAAGTGTCTGTGCCCTTCAGACCGTCTTACAGTCTTTCATTATTGTTCATTGAAGCCTTTGACTGGCACTGTCGGACGTGATTATATTCATTTCTTCCTAGAGAAGTGAAGCAAGAAGAGACAGGTTAATTTCCCTGAGGGCTTCGTGGAAAAGAGGAAAGCATCTGTTTATCCATGACAACCAGTCACCAAGGTACCAGATTGTGGATTTCCTAGGAAGTGATGGACACAGCCCTTTCTTTCATGTATTTCATTTCTCACTGATCAACATGAAACTCATGTCTCAAAGTCACATGATTTATGTACACAGGTGAACTAGAGAACCATGGTGGGGTGGAGTGGTGCATGCCTGCAACCTCAGCATTTGGGAGGAAGAGGCATCAAGGGGATCAGACAAGTTCAAGGTCAGTTTGCTCTATATAATAAGCTCCAGGCCAACCAAGGCTATATAGTGAGACTGTCTCAAAAGTGATCTTTTTAAGGATAAAAGACAAGCAATTTGGAATCTTGGTAGTTAGTTGAACTGATGTTCTGCTCCTAGAGCAAATCAAAAAGTCTCACCAGGTTCAGTGGCATGTGTCTGCAATACCAGCACTCAGATGACTGAGAGAAGAGAATTGGAGTTCAAAGCCAGCCTTGGCTCAGTGAGACGCATCCCAAAAGTTACTATAGAGTTTGTACCTCATTTTCAACTTACTACAAACAAGTGCAAGGGTCTGGAGAGAGAGCTCGGTAAATAAAGTGTTTGCCGTGCAAGTATGAGGACATGAGTTTAGTCCCCAGTGACTGTGTAAAAAAGCCAGGGGCTTGGGCTGCTGCCTGCATCCCGACACTAGGGAGTCAAAGACGTGCAGATCCTGGGGCTCCCTGGCCAGCAAGACTAGCTAGCCTACTTCGCAGGTTCCAAACCAATGAGACCCCTGGCTCAAAAAACAGGCAAGGTGGATGACAGAGCAACACCTGATGTTCCCCCCTTGCCTCCACACCTATGTGCACCTGTATGCACACACACGTGCAACAGCACACACAAACACCCATGAATATGCATATACATGCACAAACAAAAATAGATTAATTCAAGAATTCTTACTAGCAAGAGGTCACTCAATATGGAAAGCTTCCGTCTCAGTAAGAAGGGAAAACACTCAGTAAAGGGGGGACAAGTGAGATGTTCTAGTGCATTTCTACACCACCGGGAGCAAATATTTCTAATGTGAATTCGTTGTTACATGGTGGAGGGGGAGGCCTCTGCTCTTTTCCAGGGGTCAAAAGGATGTAAACTCTCATCGTGGTAGCACAAATGATGGTTTCCTCTCTGTGATTTATGGGGCTATGATTTAATGTTACTGAGACTGCAAAGCTATGAATTAGGATCACTGTCCCTGGCACCTTTATCATTCATAAAAAATATCCTTGGGGCACTTTGCCACCTACTGGACACTATTAAAAATCACCCAATTATGAAAAACAGCAATTAGGATACGACTAATATTTTATTACAGATCGGCGTAGCTGGGATTGAGTCCTATAAAAGACAGTGGGGTTGTCACCCCCGTGGAAGATAGACTGACTCTGTGCCTCTCTGGGGACGAAGGTCGCTGTGCTGTGCCGGTGCTATGTCTTTTCGATTTTCTGGGGGATCCCGGGTCTGTTCCCGGGCTGGGTCCGTCAGGCTGTCCAGGGGAGGGGCAGGCTTTGTGGCTGGGAATGTGTGTGGGGGGCCTGGAGCAGAAAGTAGCTTTTCTTGCACCCTTGGAGGCGTCTCTTCTGGAGGAAGCTTTGGCAATGGCAATGAGGTATCAGGAAGGGCTAACAGCACTGGTTTCCTTAACAACGAGCCGGGACTCCTCTCTGGGAATGAGAAGGTGACCATGCAGAACCTTAATGACCGTCTGGCACTGTACCTGAACCATGTGAGCGCCCTGGAGGAGGCCAACACTGACCTGGAGAAGAAGATCGAGGGCTGGTATGAGAAATACGGGCCTGGCAGGGGCCGAGGACTCAACTATGACTGCGGCAAGTATTTCTCAGTCATCGAGGATCTGAAAAGACAGGTAAGAAACAGAGTCCCACGCCGTGGCTATAGGCATGGACCAACCATAACTGAAAGCAAAGGAAACCTAGGAAGTAGTTGGCAGTGGGGTGTGGTGGCACACACCAGTCATCATAGCTACTGAAGAGGCTGTGACAGACGGTCACAAGGCTGAGGCTGGCCTGGAAACGTAGACACCCTAGCTCATTTTTTTAAAGCTAGAACTATAATAGTAGAGCTTTGCCCAGCATGCTGCGACTCTCAATTCAACCTCCAGTATCATAAAAGAGCTTAATTCATTCGCTCATTTCAAATGTACTCACCAAGTGTATAGAGTGTGGAATTTTCTCACTCTTTGTTCCTGGAGTTAAGGGGGTGCCTAAAAGTTTTTTTTAGAAATGTACAATCAAATAGTGAAAGAGAAATAGCTTCAAAATCATTACAATCGAGCAGGCCCAGTGATACAGTCCTGTAATCCCAGCCACACCAGAGGCTGAAGCCAGAGGATCACAAGTTTGAAGCCAGCCTGGATAATTTAATGAGATCCTTCTCAAAACAAAAACTGAAATGAGAGCTAGGGGTGTAGTTCAATAACAGAGTGTTCAACCACCGTGTAGAACCACAGGGATGTTGCACTAATTTTTTTATTTTGATACTTAATTCATACTTTTTGATGAACAACAATGAAATTATCTGTGGGGCTCTTTATTATCTGAATTTTACCCATGGTTGTTTTGCTGTTACTATTGTCTAATATTCTAGGCAAGAGCTCTGCTACTGAGTTATACCAAGTTTCTTTGAATATCCAAATAAAGATACCAATATAAACATTTGCAACAGAGTCACGCTGATTCTGGAATGTCCTTTGATCTGTCCATTCAGATTGTTTCTATGACCACCTGCAACGCCAACCTTATTCTTCAGAATGACAATGCTAGACTCACAGCGGATGACTTCAAGATGAAGTAGGTGAAAGTGAAGCAATTATTATTAATAATGGCTGAAAGACTACAGCTGCACGAAAGAGTGTGTCTCTTGCCTTTAAAACCTGTATTTTGTGAGTTTTATTTTATGCATATGGGTGCTTTGTATGTGTGTCTGTGCATGACTTGTGTGCCAGGTACCTTTGGAGGCCATAAGGGAGCATCAGATCCGCTGAAACCAGAGTTACAGACAGTTGTGAGCCGCCATGTGGATGCTGGGAATCAGATGTGGGTCTGCCCTCTAGAAGAGCAGTCAGTGCTCTTAACCACTGAGCCATCTCTCCAGCCCCCCAAAACAAACTGTTTTAATGAAGCCACTCTATATCAACAAAGAAGTTGAATTTAATGCCTCCTTATAAAAAATCTATCATTTTTTTAAAAAAATCTGACACTATTTTATTCTGATGTGTTATTGGATGGCCAAGAACAATTGTAAAGAAATAACACCTCTAAAATAATGTTTTTGTAGGGGCTGGGATGTCAGTAAAGGGTTTGCCACAAAATCATGAGGGTCTACCCCCAGCATCCTCATAAAAAAAAAGAAGAGAACAGCAGCACACATGTATAATCTCAATGCTGGTCCATGGAGACAGGAGGGGCTTTCTGGCCAGCTAGTCTGGGCTAATTGATTGAGTTCCAGGTTCAATGAGAGACCCTGTCTCAAAAAAAGAAGGTGTCAAGTTATTGAGAAAGACACCTAATATTGACCTCTGACCACACTTGTACAAACACCAAAAAATAGTACTTATAAACTAATAGGTATCTCAAACTATCTTAATAATTTGCCATGGCAAGGAGCCTCAGAAATACAAGCAGAATCAGAACACTCCACCCCTCGGCATACAACGTGTCTTTACAACTTGTACCCACGTGTAATCTCAATTTAAAACATCTTTGCACCCTTTAAGGTATGAAAATGAGCTCGCTCTGCACCAGAGTGTTGAGGCTGACACCAACGGTCTTCGAAGAGTGTTGGATGAGCTGACACTTTCTACAACCGACTTGGAAATACAGCGTGAGGCTCTGAACGAGGAGCTGATGTACCTGCAAAAGAACCATGAGGAGGTAAGGGCGCCTGCAGAACAGACAGCCTCGCACACCGTTTCCTTCTTCAAGTCCATACCAGGGTGTGAACGTCTATCACAATCCTCCCCTGAGTATTAACGATTACTTACCCCTTTCCAGGAAATGGGAGTCCTGCAAAACGCATCAGGGGGGAACATCAACGTGGAGATGAATGCGGCCCCCGGAGTGGATCTAACCGCCATGTTGAACAACATGAGGGCTGAATATGAAGATCTGGCTGAGCAGAACCGAAAAGATGCAGAGGCCTGCTTTAAAGAGAAGGTACGTCTGCAGCAGGAGACACGGGAGAGGCTGGTTCCATAAGCAGTCAAGCAGGTTATTAACCCTTGTGACAATTCCTCTTCAGAGTGCAACACTGCAGCAACAGATTTCCGATGATGCAGGAGCAGCCACGGCGGCCAGAAACGAGCTCATGGAACTGAAACGCACCCTGCAGACTCTGGAAATAGAACTTCAATCCATCTCAGCCATGGTACGTAAAAATGGAACTGGAGGCGTACATATGCACACTTTGCACTACTGCAGCAAAACACCCCAAGCAGGATAGTCTGTAAAGAAAAGGGTTTATTTACTCACCGTTTTGGAAGCTGCAAACCCAAGCAACATGGCCCTCCCCAGCAACATCACATCATGACGAGTGGCATCATCGTGACGGAAGTTTGAGCCATCGTGAGACACGAAGCTAGAGCACAGGGAGGGACCACACTCAACTGTTTTAAAATAGCTCTCTCTGAATAACTAACTGTGTCTGACTAGAACTAAATCACATTACTCTCAGAGCAGTGTCCTTGGTGACTTAACCCCACCCCCCACCTCTTAAAGGTCCCCACATATCTTAATATCACCATACTGGGACCAAGCTTCTGGTAGATAAATCCTTGAAGGTTCATACTCAAACTACATCCCAAAAACCTAACATTATATGGACATAGATAAGTAAATACATATATGCAATGGATATTTTTAGTATTTTATTTTGTGTCTATGAGTTTTGTCTATATGAGTGTATACATATCGTGTGTGTGTGTGTGTGTGTGTGTGTGTGTGTGTGTGTGTGTGTGTGTGTGGAGTCAGAAGAGGATGTCAGATCCCTTGGAGCTGGAGTTATAGATGGTTGAGATCCATCATGGAGGTGTTGGGAACCCAGGTCCTCTGAGAGAACAAGTGTTCTCAGCTGGTGAGCATCTCTCCAGCCCCTATAAGATGAATGTTTATAACACTAAATGTAGTATATATAATTAAATGAGCATGGTATGCTATCTTAAGTAATGTGAATTCCATAATTAAATGACTACAATCTATTAAGTAATCGTTGAAAATATGTACACCTGGTACAAATACATCCTTCTCCCTTGGAAATGTTTCAGTGCGGACATGTCACCCTCTCTTGCCCACTACTCTGCCTTTCTTTCAGAAACAGTCCTACGAAGGCTCGCTGACTGAGACCGAAGGGAATTACTATTCCCAGCTCCAGCAAATCCAGGAGCAGATCAGAGTGCGGGAGGAGCAGCTACAGCAGATCCGAACAGAGACCGAAGGCCAGAAGCTGGAGCACGAGCAGCTGCTGGGCATCAAAACGTGTCTAGAGAAGGAAATTGACATGTACTGCAACTTACTAGATGGGGAGGAACGGTGAGAGCTAACATGTGAAACAACTATCGAGTGACTAGGTTTTCACATGCTTATCATGCATGCACTAGATGTGGCATAAGTGCTTAATACACGCAGCATATATTACACATTTAGCATATGCTTTGTTTATTTTATAATACATAGAATATTACATCTTAGACTGTCTTAAAATCATTTAAGTGTGTATATATTTTCAATTATGTACATTATTGCATCCAATGAAATGAAAACAGACAGAAATCTGAAATCAAAACTTAGAGGGTTCTTTGGGCTTGAGTGTTGTGGCTGTTGCTGTTACTGATGATGAGGAAGTTGATGACGATGATGATGATGATTTTGATGATGAGGGTAATGAGGATAATTTTTTTTTGAGACAGGATCTCATTACTAGTCCAGACCCTGAACTCTGTGATCTTCCTGCCTCAACCTTCTGAGTACTAGGGTTACAGGCATGGGTCACACGCATAGCCTAGAAATCAAAGATCTAAATATGGAAGATATTTGCATGCATAAGCATATGAAGGGCAATTAAGTACAAAATCCTTGGTCATTCCAGGACTCTGGTCCAAGGAAAGATTTGCTTTTTTATGTTTATATTTAAATACATTTTTTATAACTCCACCTGTTACATTACTTCACTAGTTACCACACACACACTCTCTGTCCTAGTTGAATAATGATTACCGTTTCACTGCATTGGTGTATAATGGTGAGCTCAGCCACCTCCTGAGAAGACGTCATTAGAGTTTGTTAGCCAAGGCTCCAACAGCCCCAGGACTGTAGTCCTGGGTGTGACATACATCCTGAGTGAATTTGAGCACATGAATAAACCCCTTTGAACCACAGTTACCTTTTGGTAAAGTTGTGAGTATAGTGAAACCACTGTTCTCAGCTACCTCGTCATGAAGCAGACGTGCCTTAGCAGAGGCTGACTCTCAAAATCTACTTGGTCATCAGCGGCTGTTACTAAACACTCTCACATTTCACACTGCAAGCCACCTTCTTCTGCAGTCTCCAAGGCCAGGGGAAGCCCGCCTCAGACCATTCTGTGTTGTTGTTGGGTTTTGTTTTCAATACATCGCGACCTCAGTTTCCCCTTCCTGCACTCCTCTCAGTACACCAGTACCTCCACTCTCCCAAAGATCTACTCCCTCTCCTCCATTTCCCTGCAGGGAAAATCAGGCCTCTCAGAGATATCCACAGCATAACAAGATATGATAAGACTAGGCACAAACTCTCATATCTAAGTTTGAGGCCAATCTAGTCTACAGAGTGAGTCACAGGACAGGTAGGGCTACACAAAGAAACCCTGTCTTGTAAAAAATAAAAATAAAACACAACTTTTTAGATAGATATGTTGTCTTTCTAACATTACAAACTACTGTGCTTCTTAGGTCTATATTTTCTTTCTTTCTTTCTTTTTTTTTTTTTTTTTTTTTTTTTTTTTAGTTTTTCAAGACAGGGATTCTCTGTGTAACAGATTCCTGGCTGTCCTGGAACTAACTCTGTAGACCAGGCTGGCCTTGAACTCACAGAGCTCTGCCTGCCCCTGCCTCTGCCTCTGGGGTGCTGGGATTAAAGGCATGTGCCACTATGCCTGGCTAGGTCTCTATTTTCTACAGCACCTAGTCCACATCCTTCAGTGAGCAGGCACTGAGCTGTTGAGTGGAAAGTCAGGAGGAGAGATTGTGGTGCCCATGTTGCTAGACAGAAGAGATGATGTCTGGCCATAAACAGCCATTTCATTTCTTTTCACTGTGCCGAAGACGCAAAAAGCTTACCAATGTCCCTTTAAAATAGAACAACTTAAAACTTACTGAAACTAGAACTCCAAAATTATTATTTCTGGTGCTGGAGAGATGGCTCAGCAATCACAGGTGATTTTAATTCCCAGAACTCATGTCAGATAGCTCACAATCACCAGTAACACCAGATCCAGGGGATCTGATGTCCTCTTCTGGCCTCCACAGACACGCACATATATGTGGACACACACATACACAGGCACTGAAATATAACTAAATGTAATTTTAAAAAAACAATTAAATTCACAATCATTTATGATCTTCTAATTGAAAGACAAAGATAATGATCTACTCTTCTCTTCGCAGAAGAAGCGAGTCCACGTGTTACAAACCAAAGGATGGCAAGCCTGGGAATGAAGTCAATGGTATGGAAGGGATTTTAGTGTAATTCTGTCTCTGAGTGTGTGTGTGTGTGTGTGTGTGTGAGTGTGTGTGTGTGAGTGTGTGCACGCACGAGCCTGGTGTGTGTGTATGTGCTTGTGGAGGTCAAAGGTCAACCTCGGGTGCTCTCAATTGCTCTCCACCTTGCTCTTTTGAGACACTGTCTCTCTGGAACTTTGCTTGTCCACAGACTGTCCTGTGCTGGGTTTACGAGCCGCACACCACCCTGGCTTTTGTACCTGCCTTCTGGGGATCAGACTCAGTCCCTCACACTCCCACAACAAGAACATCAAGCACTGAGCCATCTCCCCAACCCTGAGCAATTCCTCTAAACCCCTTCAGTGCTGTTGAATGAGCTACTTATTTGTTAACTACAAGTTTATTTTAAGTTTAGATCTAGTGAATGAACCAATGAGGTCGTTGTAACTCTATCTATTTATTTATCTGTCTACTGATTTTTACCTAATGTTTTGCTATGTAGCTCAAACTGGCCTGGAACACATAGGTGGTTTTTTGTTTTTTTGTTTTTTGTTTTTTTTGGAAGGGGGAGGTTGTTTTGTTTTGTTTTGTCTGACCTATCACATACTAGGATTACAGATCTATACCATCATACCCACCTGACAATTCTTAATGTTTATATCTTATATCCCTGTAGAACAGATATGATCAAGTTATAAATGACTGTCATAAAGAATAAGCCCTCCAATATCCTTAGTGCCTAGAATACATTATTTTTCAGTTTTACTACTTAATAAAAGAGCTTTTTTTAAAATCACTAAGCTAGGACAACCTGGTATTTAAAGACTGCAATAGCCTAGCCTGGCAATTTAGGCCTACAATCCCAAGTAGTTGGGCGAATGCAGCAGGAGGTTTATATATCCTAGATTTGTCTGGGTCACAAAGTGAGGTGGAAACCAGTTTGAGTGGTTTAATGAGACTCTATCTCAAAATAAAGAGTGAAATGAGAGCTGGGCATACAGGTGAGAAACGGAACCTGGCCAGGTTCTAGTTCTAAATGGGAAAAGAAGAAGGAAAGGGGAAGGAAGGAGGGAGGGAGGGAGAGAGGAAAGAAGAGGGGGGGAGGAGAGGAGAGGAGAGGGCATTGATTGTTCCAGACCTGATGTTTTGTTTGTTTGTTTGGTTGGTTGGTTGGTTGGTTGGTTGTTTGGTTGGTTAGTTTTGGTTTTTTCAAGACAGGGTTTCTCTGTCTAGCTTTGGAATCTGTCTGGAACTCACTTTGTAGACCAGACTGGCCTCAAACTCATAGAGATATTCCTGCCTCTGCCTCCACAGTGCTGGGATTAAAGGTGTGCGCCACCACCACCCCACTTAGACAGACCTCGTGTTTTAATTGTTTTCACACATACTTCATGTGTGCTTTCAAGTGCCGTTTGCAGAGAGGGGGAGACAAGGAGATAGAGTTCAATCAGTCCTGGGTCTTGTTAAGCGCTGACTTTAAACATATCCTTATATCTCAAATGTCTTCAAACTTGCAAAAACCAGTTTTTAAAAGCAGACACGCCACAACTAAGTACTTTTCCCCTTCAAGACTGACCACTGACCTTCCCCTGTCTTCACTTTAGACTCGACAGAAGAGACGTTTGTGAGGACGGTGGCTGAAGAGCTAGATCAGCTGGGCAGCCTCCTTTCCCTGAGAGTGCACTCCGTAGAAGAAAAGTCTTCTAAAATCAGCAACATCACCATGGAGCAGCGGGTGCCCTCCAAAACCCCTTGATGGCGGGGAAAATAATTCATAACACAGAAAGTTGCCTCTGAAAAATTTCACTGGCCAAGTAACCCAAGAAAATCATCCATACCTGTTCTTAAAACTCAAGAGGACTAGACTCAGGTTTCCTTTTCTTCCTCTTCTCACACTGTCATGGGCAACACAGGTGGAGGTGCCAGGACCCTTCTTTGACAGAGAAAAGAAATCCACGGAGAGCCGACGTGAAGCAGAGTTGGGGATTTATTAAAAGACATTTGTAACTTGGATCTGAAGCAGGGTCAATAGAGAGGTGCTCAGGACAGAGATGAGGCGTACCCAAGCATCAGTGTGGGCTTCTCCCAGGAGAGTCACTTTTGTTTCTTGTTGCTTAGATTTTTTTGAGTCAGGGTTTCTCTGTGTGACAGCTCTGGCTGTCCTAGAACTTTGTAGACCAGGCTGGCCTTGAACTCACAGAGATCCAACTGCTTCTGCCTCCCTTCCCAAGTGCTGGTATCAAAGGTGTGCACCATCACCACCCAGCAAACACTTAGGCGTTTTTATCACACGTGTACATATAGGATTTTGGTGCCTCTCAAGTTGTATCCCTAAAGGTTACAAGAAACTCCCCTCTTGTTCCTTTAACATTGCTCAAAGGGTACAGCTTCTAACAAGGTTAAAACTTAAGGGTTTCCTTCTATAAACAAGGTTGGAAGATGGATTGGTGGGGATGTTGTTTAGATTTAGGAGGGAGAAGGGAATGGAGGTGATAATACGTCATGTTGGACCTAAGTAAGTATAGTTTAGCTTGACAAGGCATCTTTGGGGGAAAGTCATGCTCTGTCTCTCTGGCCATTGGGGCTTCACCAGGGATTTCTGAAGTTTCCTGACTTTCTCAGGAGAAAGGATGGGTCATACTCTGTGAACAAAGGCTTATTTTTTTCATCCTTTCCTTCCATGTGACCATAATGTTCTTATCTGTCTACCCTGTCCCAGTGCTTCGGAAATGAGACTATCTTGGTAGGTTTTGTTTTTATTTTGTGAACCTGTGACCATCTCATGAAGAGTTCTGTTGCAAATTTTGTTTGTTTGTTTGTTTGGTTGGTTGGTTGGTTGGTTGGTTTTGGAGACAGGATTTCTCTGTGTAACCTTGGCTATTCTGGAACTCACTCTGTAAACCATGCTGGCCTCAAACACACAGAGATGCCTCTCTGAGTGCTGGGATTAAAGGTGTGCACCACCGCCACCCAGTGCAAATTATTTTTACTTATCTGCTTCTTTTTAATTTCCACAGCTGCTCCCTATGTGATCATGCCAAGGCTGAAACCAGCATGCTTCATCTCACAGTCACATTTTCCTCAATGACAGTAGAAAACAGAAAGGATACTAACCTCAGGTCCCGAATCCCAGTTAACTGTGCAATGACTATTAGGTCTTCTATGGGTGTAGAAGTTAATATATCCATTGTTCATTAGGGTCTATTCACTCTTCTGATGCTTACATTAATGATCAAGAAATGTTCTCAAATCTGAACCTGGCTAGCTCTTTTTCCACTTGATAATGCATGCGTCTTTTCTCCCAACCCCTTAGTGATGACTAAGCAAACCTAGAACTGCCCCACTCAAGCAGGACAGGGCTTCTAACTGACATCCTCTGAGTACAAGACCATGCCTGACACTGTGCAATGGATAACCATTAACAAAGAAATTCGGTAAAGGGCCAGTCAACAAACATGAATGAAACAGGGGGCTCACAAGCCCCCACCCCTAGCTGACAGTTGATGGCTTCCAGGAGGAGAGTCAGTTTTCTTTTGGGGGTGTGACCCCTGTTAGGTGAACCATTCTCCAGTGGGTGGCTAAACACACACCTCTATGTAAGTGAGAAGCACAAATTTAATTCAATGGTTTATAAAATAGGGTAGGGCATGAAGTTGGGAGGGAGCTGGAACATGGATCTGGGAGGAGTTATGGGAAGAAGAGGGGGTGAATATGATCAAAATATAGTCAGTGCACATAATTAATTCTCAAAGAATTAAAAGCAATGAAAATAATAATAAAAATAACATTGTGCCTGAAAATCTGACACAACCTTCTTCTTCTTGGGAAGTACAGCCAGGATTGGCAAACACTAGAACATTCATTTAAAGACGTTTTTCCACTTGTGGCCAAATAAGGCAGCAACGCAATAACCTGGTTCTCCAACATGCATGGCAGGCATCACTGAAGGGTTTTAACAACCTGGAGTACAGACAACATGGAATTCAGAACAGAAGTGCTCACTCCTCTGGGGGTGCATCTCTGTCTTGATTGCAGGTTTTTCCAACTCCCATATGATATAATTGACTCCAGTGCGTAGACAGTTTCTTAAGATGTTGACATAGCTGATTGCTCCCTTGACAGAGTCTGTTGTTATGAATGACCCCAATTGCGCTGTTCAAAGCTACAATTCAGAGTAAGTTAGATTAAGTCAGGTTAGAAGTGCTAGTGAGAGCAGGACTACAGTGACGATAGCTTATATTGTCACTTATATCAAGTGTGCTTAAGTGTACTTTAAACGAATTAACCAATTTAATCTTTAAAAATTGTTAAGTTCCGTGTTTTATTTTTAGTTTATATGGGAGTTTAGTTAATATATAAATATATATAGTATAATATATATTCAAAGAGATTAAGGAATTTCCTAAAGGCACACAGCTGATATATAGTGGAACCTGGGTTCAAATCCAAATCTTCTTCTCACTCATGAGAGGCCTTGCATTTATCCCTGGAGGGGCAGAACTGATAGAATAAGTATATATTCAAAGAGAATTTATTCATCATCTTACACATACAGTTGGTGTAGACCAACAGTGGCAGTCTTCACGATGAAGAGGGTGAGAACTCAGTAGCTACTTAGTCCACGAGGCTGGGTGCCCCAGAGTGCTAATCTGCTGCTGACAGACTGGAGGACTACTGGAGAGCCACTGACCGTCAATTCAGGTTGGAAGGTCAAAGGAACCAGGTTCTGATATTAGCAAAGGATGGTGGACAGGCAGGATGCAACCAGGAAGGAAGGATAGGTGGGACTATGAGAATACTGGAGAGAGTCACCAAAGAGACACCATGTAGCTGCCAAGGAAGAAAGAGACTTAGGCATCATCAGTAAGCCAAGACGATGTGGAGATACACAGATGAATAGAAATGGGTTAATAATTAAGAGAGAGATAGCCAATAAGAGTAGCCTGAAAAAAAAAAGAGAGTAGCCTGAGCCATCATCCAAACAACTTATAATCAATATAAGCCTCTGTGTTTTTATTTGGGACTAAATGGCTGTGGAAACAGTCAGGACAGAAACTTCCATCTGCAACTGCTGAAATGAATCACCTATTCTACAGGAGGGATTTCCCTTCTCAAGCAATCCCTTAGGGACTCATTCAGAGGCAGGTCTCTTAGTTGATTCCAGATCCAATTGAGTTGACAAAGCCAAGATTAACTATCACAGTCCTAATATGCAAAATGGAATCAGCATAGGAATTTCACATTCTATTTTCTCAGTGAGATTCTTCTGCCACCAAGGAGACACCACAAACAGACAAGTTCTTCCATGCATAGTCACCAATGATCCAATGAAGGCTACTAGCAGAGTGGAGCTACACACTACCCACACTCTCCTCTGCTCGCTCCCCACCAGCTCCTCCCCTGTACTTCCCTTCTCTTCCCCTACTCCTCTACTAAGTCTTATCATTTGGATGCCAGCCCCCCTGGGCCTACTGTTTTCCTCATTATACTTCATTACTCTCACGACTGTCACATTGAGGCTGGGTCCTAGAAATTTAAAGAGTAGAGACACATACTCAGTTATCTCAAAACACATAGCAAACTTACTATTTAGGAATCATAGCAGTAGACTCTCTTTATCTTCTGACTACCAGGAATCTTATGATGCCACCTTATTCTCAATAGAGTTCTCTTCTTTCCAAGAACACTTTTTTATGTTCATGTTTTCCTTCTTAAGCAGACAGACAGGCTTACCTCCATGGTAGACAGATTTACAACTAGTAAACACTTTAAATGAAAATACATTCTCCTTACGAAGACAGGAAAGTTTAAGTAGTCTTCCTTGTTTCCAGAAAGTCAAGGTTTACCAAAAATAAACAATAAAGTAAAAGTGTCTTATCAGTACAAAATTTTCACTGGACATTCTTTTGTCCTTTTGTAATTCTATTATTTATTCTTTGAGAATTTCATACATACAAATTCTGTCATGTTCTTTCCCCAACTCCCAGATCTTCCCCCACTCGCTACCTAATTAGACATTCTTAACGGTGAGCTAACAATAACATACCAGTGAATACACAACAGGCAGACCAAAGTAAGGCCACGATGTAGCAAAAAACAGGGGATGGGGGCTGGTGACACAAGTCTTCAGCCCCAGTACTCTGGAGGCAGAGGCAGTCAAGTCCCCTGAGCTCAAGGCCAGTCTGGTCTAATTACAAGCCATCCAGGGATACACAGTGAGACCCTGTATCAAAAATAAACAAAAATAAAATATGGGTCCTAAAAACCTGATAAAAGTTTTTTTTAATTCTTTCAAACGAATAAGAAGAATGCATACCAACTTCTCAGCAAAGATGTCTTCAATGTGCTAAGAATTCAAAATTACAAATTAATTTATTAGAAGGGTTCAACCACACCATTAACTTAAAAATTTTTAATTTATGCCACATGAGACACTATTACAGTCCCAACAGACTGAAAACAGCTTTAGAGTATCTGTCAAAAATTCTTCATGTTACTGCCAAATTGTTTCTGCTTAGGGAACACTATGAACAATGATTGATAAATGTTCCTTACATAAAATATGTGAAATTTCAAAAAAGAAAAACTATGTGAAATTAGTCAACCAGAGAAACAAAATAAAGGAAAAATGAATCTGGGTATGGTGGCACATCCCTTTAATCCCAGCACTCAAAAAGCCAAGGCAGGAGAATTGTGAGTATGAAGCTAGCCTGTACTAACAGAAAATTCTGGGCCAGCCTAGGATATGAAAGCCTGTCCAAGGAGAAGACTAAGGGGGAGGAAAAGGAGGAGGAGTGACATGGACAGGCAGGTCATTTTTTCAGTGAGAGCATCCTGAGAGAAAGGACCAACGAATCAGAAAACAAAATGATGGATAAGTTTGGAATTAAGAGGTCTGCTGTGTTTTATGCCAAGCAAGCTTATTAAGAATGCAGCACCTTATGTATTACTTCCATGGGAGAAATGGAACAGTCAGTAGAAAATATCATACAATGAAACAGTCAGTATAAGGCTAATCAAGCAATGTTGCACAAAGAGAACACAGGGTATCTCAAGACCAAACACACAGCAGCATTGGGACTGATAACTCCAGTCTCTTCCTCAGGAAAAGCTAAGTTACCAGAAACAGAAATTTAACTCCTTCAAGGCCCTTGCCTTAGCCCCAGACTGACATTGCCAAGTCTGCTATTGGGAAAGAGCACAGAATGAATGCTCCCTTTGTACTTCTGTCAGGGCTCTGAGAAACCCTTGAATCGGCCTGGCTCTCAACAGAGGAGGAAGGTAAGAGAGGGTGAAGAAGAGAAGGAGGAAAAGGGGGAGGAAGAAAAAAAGAAAGAGGAGAAAGAGGAGGAGATTAGCTTAAAAACAATTAAAGGTAAATGAAAGATGGGTAATATAAAGTAGAAAGGGGAATAATGGGAAAGGAAGTTTAGGTGGGGAGACAGGAAGGAGAGTAGAGCAGAGGAGAGGGTGAAAGGAAGGATAGTTAAAACCAAGGATGTTTTAAAAGGCCATATGAAATCTACTATTGTGTATGTTTCATATAAAAAATATATAAATGTATATATGTGATATCTCCCCTCAAGTTGTTGGTCGAGGATATCCTGGGAACCCCCTCCTGTCTTTAGGTTCTTATTATTATGAAGAGACATTATAACCACAGCAACCCTTATAAGGAAGACATTTAATTATTGTGACTCCCTTACAGTTTTAGAGGTTCAGTTCATTCTCATTATGGTGGGAAGCATGCCAGTGTATAGACAGACTTGGTGCTGGAGAAGTCCTACATCTTGCAGGCCACTGAGAGAAGCTTAAGCAAAAGAGACCTCAAGGCCCACCCCAACAGTGACACACATCCTCCAACAAGGTCACACCTACTCCAACAAAGCCACACCTCCCAGTAGTGCCCCTCCCTCTGAGAGACATATTCTTTCAAACCACCACACCTCCCAACAATACAGATTATTGCCATCACTCTTGGTTGCCCAAGAACTCAATGATAAGAATCTGTTGCTGAAGACAACACACTATATGACATAGAGAAATCACAGTAGTAATTTCTCAAAAAGTTTACTCCCTCTTGGCAAGCTTTCATAGTACTGAAAAATGTTATGCTGGTTTCTGGGACAAAAAATAATAATAACAACAAGTAATAACAGTGATAATCAGTAATCTTACTTAGCTGTAAAGCCTATGAAACACCCATTGTGAGTGCTGGGAACTGAGAAGTACATGTTCTTAGCCACTAAGCCATTTGCATCAGCCCATTACTGCTATTCTTTTTTAATTCCTAAATAGGGTAAGGGAGATGGATCAATGGGTGAGTTGCTGGCTGTGTAAACACGAGGGCCAAAGTGTGGATTCCCAACTCCCATGCATAAGATTTGGGTTGCATGTCTGCAATCCCAGTGCTAAGGGTACAGAGACAGGAGGATCCTAAGGACTTGCTGAACAACCAGTCTAGATAAAATGGTTCAGTGAGTGATCCTATCTCAAAAACTAAAGTAGAGGTGGGTGACAAGACAGCTTGGTGGTTAACGCACCTGCCAGGCCAGCCTGAAGACCCAGCTCAATCCCTAGAACCTAAATAAAGGTAGAAGGAGAAAAGCAACTCTACAAAGTTGTCTCCTGACTCTATACACTGTGGAATGTACATACATTACAAATACAATAAATGCACATGTACACTCAATAATAATAACATTTTTGTTGTTTTTTCGAGACAGGATTTCTCTGTATTGTTTGGAGGCTGTCCTAGAACTCTCTCTGTAGACCAGGCTGGCCTCGAATTTACAGAGATGTGCCTGCCTCTGCCTCCCGAGCGCTGGGATTAAAGGTGTGTGCCACCAACGCCCCACTAAGCAGAGAACAAGTAAAGTGGACATTGTTTCTACAATTTTATTGAATCATTTATTAGTTCCAACAATTATGATAAAGCATTATAGGACCGTGTGTGTGTGTGTGTGTGTGTGTGTGTGTGTGTGTGTGTGTGACATATATGTGTGTATGAGTGCCTGTGGAGGCCAGAAGAGATCTCAGATCTCCTGAAGCTGGAGTTGTGAGCTGTCTAATGCGGGTACTGGGAACCAAATTTAAGTCCTCTGGAAATGTGGCAAATGCTCAAAAAAAAAAAAAGAAAAGAAAAACCTAAAAATACAATCAACTAATGCAAAATTAGAAACACTATGGAACTACAAAACACTAAAAAGCTTCCTCCAAACAAAGGAACAGAGTAAAGATCCAGTATCCAGTAAGATTGTTAGTATCCAAAGTAGATAAAGAACTTGACTCAATAACAAGAAAGCAACTTGATTTAGAAGACTTTCCTTTAGAGACACTGCCAGTAGGTCTTTGAAAAGGTATTCAACCTCACTAACCACATGGAAGCACAAAGGGGAAATGTTGGTCAAGGGGAGTAAAATTTAGGAGAATTTAAGTTCAGGAGACACATTATGCAATTAGGTGACTACCTTAATAGCAACGCATATTTCGCTTGAAAATTGCTGAGTGTATTCTAAATGTTCTCACTGCCAAAATATGTGAGAGGATGAATATGTTAATTAGCTGGACTTAGTCATTCCCCTGTGTGTGCGTAACAAAACATCATATCCCATACATATATGTGCATAGATACATGTAATTCAAACTGTCCTTTAAATGTGGGCTTTTCATATTTAGGGTTTTCAATTAATACATATGAACCCACACCCAATGAACAGCTACCATCCCATGACTTTTACCTGAGCTACACAAACCACATAAAGATGAAATTTTTCCTTCCAAGTTGGCTTCAAATTTTGTGGGGTCAGGAAATAAATTGATGTCCTTTCAAACCCCCACAAAACATAACAGCAATTAGAGGTGTGTTCCTAATTACTAAAACGGATGAGTGAAGGAGACAACTGTGCTCACTCCTAAGTGTCAACAAAGTATGTTGCACATGTCAGCAGAATGGAAGCTAATTTCCCATCAGAAACCATGACAAGAGGAATTCAGAACAAATGGATGAACCACACAACCTAGGAGTTGAATGGGCAGGGAAGGGAATCATGGACATCACTCTTCTCAAGCAATGGGGGAAGAATTGGAACAACAAAATTGAATCTCAGAAACATCAAAACCCTCCTTGGCGTGATAACCCAACCCCTACCCCCACCCTACCCCCACCCCACCCCCCAATGCCAAATTCCTGTTCTGTGACGGAGCCCCAAGCATTATCTGCTTAGGCTAGAAGTGAACTATGACTCACTGGTAATTTTAAATTGTAATAATGAGCCTGACATTGCTCCACCCGGATCCATTTCTCAGATAAACACCAACCTAGGGGCAACTGCCCTTCTACAGAAAGGAACCCAACAAAGTTAGTTACTAATTAGAAAAAATCACCCAATTATGCTAACTTGCTGAGGCTGGCAAGCCGGACTTTACTCTATGTAGGCAGAATTTCATAGAACACCCTTGAGAATTGTCTATAAAAAGGCCAACAGAAACCATCAGGGTCAGAAGGCACTCCGTTCTGACTTTGAAGAACACAGCTCTGTGACACGCTTGCCCCGGGATCATGTCTCTTCGCTTTTCCAGTGGATCCAGGAGGTCCTATGCCCGTCCCAGCACAGGGTCACTCAGGGGAGCCAGCTTTGGCTCTGGGAATACTTGTGGCGTAGCGGGCATTGGAAGTGGCTTCGCCTGCGCCTTTGGGAGCAGCTCCACAGGAGGAAACGCGGGGGTGGCCAGCTCCTGTGCTGGCTTCACCGTGAATGAAGGGGGCCTTCTCTCCGGCAATGAGAAGGTGACCATGCAGAACCTCAATGACCGCCTGGCCTCCTACCTGGATAACGTACAAGCGCTGCAAGAGGCCAATGCTGACCTGGAGCAGAAGATCAAAGGCTGGTATGAAAAGTTTGGACCTGGGTCATGTCGTGGTCTCGATCATGACTACAGTAGATACTTCCCGATCATCGATGACCTTAAAAACCAGGTAAGAAATTATATCTTCGCTGTCACATGTATCTAAATTTCTCTTCACTGAAAAAAACATGCTACATCTTTATTTGTGGTCATTTTAAGGGCATGTCACTTTAACATTGGAAATAATCATGAAGTAAATTCAAATGTTTAACCCCATGTTTAAAGTGCCCTTGATGATAGCCTAACATTTTTTGTTTGTTTTGTTTTTGTTTCTGTTTTTGTTTTTCAAGACAGGGTTTCTCTGGGTAACAGCTCTTGCTGTCCTGGAGCTCTCTCAGTAGACCAGGCCGGCCTTGAACTCACAGAGATCGGCCTGCCTCTGCCTCCCCAGTGCTGGGATTAAAGGCATTTGCTGCCTACTTAATTTTTATCATGGGCATTTTCTAACATAAAAAAAGAACTTTGCCTTTTTAATTGTGATACATGGCCTTTTAAAAACTCACACTCCTGGTTTCCAGATCATCACTTCAACCACCAGCAACGCCAACGCTGTTCTACAGATTGACAATGCCAGGCTGACAGCTGATGACTTCAGACTCAAGTAAGTCGTCACAGAGCGAGTGCATCTGCGGTGATTCATGCGGTCTTAATTCAAATTCCTCTTGTCATCTCCCCATCAGACACTAGTCACTCTCACCCCAACACTGGAAAGCACTTGGATTTAAAACAAGCAGGATGAACACAGGGAATGAAAAGAGATGGAAAGGGGTACTATGAAATGCTCTGGACATGACACAGCCATTGCAATCACATCCTCATTGCAACTATGGTTACCTAAATGAAGTCAAGCCAATAAAATGAGTCAGCATCCCAGCAGGCAGCACTGATTGAACTCTAGGTTACAAAAAGAGGACCAGAAAGGGGGAGGGGTTGTGTTGGGGGCTACCCAGGGGGAGTGGGAGTAGGGAGCTAGGGAGCTAGGGATGGGTATGATCAAGACACATCTTAATTCTTTTAGAAAAGAAACAGAATGCTACTGCTTTTCTATACATTGACTAGCTTCAGTGATTATTTATAAAACTAGCGTGCAATAACCTGCTTCTTTTTGTGTGAAATACCTCTCACATTTTTAAAATGGTAAGTGTATAATAAACTGGAAAGAAATCACAAAAGTGGCCTAATTTACCACTTGAGAAGTCTAGAGTTTGGAAGTACATCCATGATGGGTGACTCTTCAACCATGTGACAAACTGGGAAAATCACTGCTACTTTTGAAGGTATGAAAATGAGCTGGCTCTCCACCAGAGCGTAGAGGCTGACGTCAACGGGCTGCGAAGAGTTCTGGATGAGATCACCCTGTGCAGGACTGACCTGGAGATTCAATACGAAACCCTGAGTGAGGAGCTGACTTACCTCAAGAAGAACCACAAAGAGGTAAGGACCAGCAGACTGGCTCTGCTCTGCTTCTCCCCATGTCCACCTCTCTGCAGATAACACCCAACTGGCAATTGGTCATTGTCAAACCCACAGGAGGCCAGCTTGTCTTTGCTTGAGCTGAGTTGTCTATAGTCACTCTTATTCTTGTGCCCATTTCCACATGGCTGGGGGGAAAGAACCCTACTTTCCAGGCCACTCCTAAGATCAGTCGCTGGCTATCATTACAGCTGTTAAGTGGTCTACTTAGATAATTATACCTAATTAGACAAAATGATTGTGCTTTAAAAGCCATTCTAGGAAAACTGGATCTTAATTTCTTCCCAACAGCAGCACACGTTACCCTCAGACATTCAGTATATAGTCTTAAGACATTCTTTTTTAATAATATTTGTATTAATTCTTTGAGAATTTCGAGCAATAGAAGTTGATCATACTCACCCTTCCTCCCCCAACTCCTCCCATAGTCATCTTCCTCATCCCTCACCTCCGTACCCACCCAACTCTGAGTTTTCTTCACTCCTACCCACATCAAGTTCAGGTTGTGTTGCTTAACTACTCTTGGGAATGGGGCCCTCCCTGGAGTATGGTCACTATCAGGGTTCACATCATTAAACAAAATTGACCCTCCCTCTCCCAGAAGCTATCAAATGCCAATAGTACCTCCACTGGGCATAGGATTTTGTGCCCAATTCTCCTGCTCCATGCTTGGATTTTATCTGGTTTGAACTTGTGCAAGTCTTGCAAATGCCATTACAACTGCTGTGAATTTGTGCATGCAACTGCCCCATTGTGTCCAGAAAATCACGGGCATGTCCAGAATTCCTTAGCATTGTATACCACCTCCAAGTTTTCGAATTATTCCATCGCCTCTTCCACAATGACCCCTAAGCCTTGAGGAGAGGTGTGTGATATACAGGTTCCATTTAGCATTTAAAATATATTTTTATTGGTGGCCTTGGTTTTTTGTTTTGTTTTGTTTTGCACTGGTGTTTGGCCTGCATGCATGTTTGTGTGAGGGTGTCAGATCTTGGAGTTACAGACAGTTGTTAGCTGCCATGTAGGTGTTGGGAATTGAACCTGGGTCCTCTGGAAGAGCAGTCAGTGCTCTTAACCAATGAGTCATCTCTCCAGCCCCCTAAAATATATTCTTAAAAGACACACTGAAAGATGTGAAACTACAACCAAATGCTTACGCTAGAATTTATACTTCCTAGCACATAATATCCTTCATATGTTCTCACTTGATCATGAAGCTATTGTTTTTACAGTCCCTATCTTCTGTCTTTTAAACGTCTTTGGTATTTTTTTAAGTGGTCGAAGATATCCACAGTTAATATGGATGCTTAAATCTGGAGCAAAAGCTAGTGGTCTACTTGGTTAGTCATGATGCTAGCTTGTAAGTTAAACTGCTTGAATTACAGCATTCATTTGGTGCTGTGAGTTCATGTGTGGTTATAATCCATGGCAGTTACTCAATAAACTGCTGATGAATTAGGAGCAATTGGTTTTTTAAATACTTTGCTTATGGATAGACCCACTGATACATGGGTTTTCCTTTGTTTTTAATCTTTTTTTTTTTTGCTTGCTTGGACTGGGCAAGTTTTCATTCAACCCTGTGGTCTTCAAAGCCACATGCAGAGACAGATGATATAGTGTGTACCAGGAAGGATCTGATGTAAGGAACGCCTGAGGACTGATATCATGGAGGAAAGAAAGCTGCCCTGATTCAGGAGTGAGGAAGAAGGTCTAGGCAGAAGACAGCCGACCGTATCAGTTTGCACAGGCTTGGCTGAGATGCCTGCTGTCCATATACTTAGAATGGACTCGGGCAACAGTAGGCCACTTGGTCAGAATACTGTGCCATCTTTGGCAGCAGAACAGAGTCCTGCTATCACAATGACAGGAACCATAATAACCAGCATTCACAGGTCAAACAGCATCGCAAAGCCACCATTTTATTATTAATCCTTCCACTGCTTTTAACACCACCCAAAGAAGGATTTTTTAATTAGCTTCAATTTTCAGAGTAATCATAACTTTCCCAAATTAACACAGCTACAACTGACCAGAACCAGAAATCATACAGAGATTTGTGTGACTCCAAAATCCAAAAGGGCACTGCGACCATTGTGTAAACTTCCAAACAGCTGGATCCTTCCTCCCCTGCACAAACATGCACACACACACACACTGATTTATCTATTTATATCATTATCTGAACTCAACCTTTTGACGGTGCTCAGACTGTATTCAGGGAGTAGCTGAGTCGAGAGGACCTTCAAGATGGTCTCTACCTGCTTGAAGAGGACAGACCGAAAGGGTGCATATTTAAACAATCCAAATAAGAGTCAGAGGACAGTTCTTTTAAGTGGTTTAAGGACTTGTATTTGTGAAGGAATCAAGACTTATTCTGGGTAGCAGAGCAAAACTGTCCCAGGAGCAGGGTTACAGAGGCCATAACAAAGCACTCTGGAGCCTGTAAGATTTCTTCCCAAAAGAAGCAGGCTAATTGATGATATAGTATCTTCCCCGGCCTTAAGAGGTAAGCCAAACTGGATGGGAGAAATAAAATGTGGAAAGATGGTCACTGCAGAGCCAAGGTGGGGAAACCAGGATGAGAACTCCAGGAAACCACGATGAGAACTCCACGCAAGCTAAGCTTCTAGAATCCCTGAAAGTCCCACTGACTTCAGCTCAGCACCTCTATGCCTCCAGGAAATGCAGGCCCTGCAGTGCGCGGCTGGAGGCAATGTGAACGTGGAGATGAACGCTGCCCCTGGTGTGGACCTCACGGTCCTGCTGAACAACATGCGAGCCGAGTACGAGGCCCTGGCTGAGCAGAACCGCAGGGACGCCGAGGCCTGGTTCCAGGAAAAGGTAACTCTCCCCTGACACTGTCCCTATGTGTTTCAGGGCTATTCCCAAACTAAGATCTGCCCCTCTTGGTTGTCATTTGCCATTTCAGAGCGCTTCGCTGCAGCAGCAGATCACCGAGGACGTGGGTGCCACCACCTCAGCCAGGAACGAGCTGACCGAAATGAAGCGTACTCTCCAAACCCTGGAAATTGAACTTCAGTCTCTCTTAGCCACGGTATGCATGGAAGGAGTATATTATTGCTCCATAAGTTTGTTTTAAATTTCCACCTACTGATTTAAAAGTCTCGCTTGTTGCCGAAAAGATATCCACATATACTTTTGTTTTTTGAGACTGGATTTCGCATATGGCTCTGACTGACCTGAAACTTAGTATTTAGACCAGGTTAACCTGGAACTCAAGAGATCCACCTGCCTCTGCCTCCTGACTGTTGGCATTAGCGGTGTGCACCACCACACCTGATGGACAAACACGTCTATACATCCTTTTCATCCGCTCTGTGTTATTCCTGACAGAAACACTCGCTGGAGTGCTCCCTGACCGAGACCGAGGGCAACTACTGCACACAGCTGGCTCAGATCCAGGCTCAGATCGGCGCCCTGGAGGAGCAGCTGCACCAAGTCAGGACTGAGACCGAGGGCCAGAAGCTGGAATATGAGCAACTGCTGAACGTCAAGGCCCACCTGGAGAAGGAGATCGAGACCTACTGCCTCCTCATAGGGGGAGATGAAGGGTAGGTGAAGGGCTTTACATGCAAAAGGCCATATACACCCCACCCTCCCTGTCCACTTCTCCCACGGCAGTGGATACCAGCACCCACAACAGGAAAATATCACAAAGAATACACTACATTGGTGCTGGACATGCACAGGCTCTCTCTTGATCATGCCCTGAACCTTAAAGAACAGCAGCTACTTGCACAGCGTTTGCAGTAGAGTCAACAGTGTAAGTGACCCAGACAGACAAGGTAGAGGAGAATGTATGCAAGTTCTATGTAAGGACGATGCCATCCTTGTGATGATATTTGAACATCCTTTGACTCTGAATCCATTGCTGCCATAGAACCTATCTCCCCTGATGCTGAGGGATGACTATCCAGAAATGCACTTAACAATTAGATCTGTGATGAGACTGTAACCATGAACAACTGTGGCTATATCTGTTGCCATGGGTGCCGGGGTTAAGCATCATACTCCATTGCCAAGAAACAACTCAGCAGCATTTGGCAAAAATCAAACACAACAGGGAATGAAGATTAAAACTATCACTTCTTCATGTTAAAGGAGAGTGGTTTCCACTGTAACCCACTGAGTATGTTCTCCAAAGAGCAAAAGAAATTCTAATACTGGGTCTAGAACAAAACAGATCTCTCCATGTCACTCTTCTGTGGTGTTTTCGCAGGGCTTGTAAGTCTGCCAGTTATAAGTCTAAAGATTATGGATCTGGAAATGCTGGAAATCAAATCAAAGGTAATGAAAATAAAATTCCATTGTTATATCAGTCTACCTCACTGCCAGTACACAGATCATTGTCTTTCTTCTGCAGTAGGACTTAGAATGTCTAACTTTAGACCTGTGAGCTTATTTTAAATAAAGTCAAACATCAGCATGATTTGGCCTAACCAAGTAATCAAAATTCACCAAAAATGAGTCATGTTTGTGCCTTCTACCTACTCCAACCTACGTTTGGGAAAAAAAAATCTTATTATTCCTTTATATAACTTCTTATTCGTTTCCTCCTAGCTTCTAAAACCTTCTTTTAACCTGGAATTTTCAGATTCAGCCAAAGCCATAGTGGTTAAGAAAGTTCTAGAGGAGGTGGACCAGCGCAGCAAAATACTCACCACTAGGCTCCACTCCCTGGAAGAGAAATCTCAAAGCAATTAACAAAGATCATAAGCAAAAAAAAAGTCAAAACCTCAGAGAATACAAGGCATGAAATGCGTCTGGGAAATGAGCAAGCCTATGAAGAATGTCTGTCCTGTTGCCTTCTGTTCCTTTCTGTTTCTGAGCCATCAGCAGCAGAACTCCCCATCCGTCTGGAGAGATGTCACGTGCAAACGTGAAGGCTCACCCGATTACCCCACAGCTGTCTGTTAGCAGTTCTTTACTGTCAATAAACCTTCCTTGAGCAACTGATCTCTGGTGGCTGGCATTGTCTTATCTTTGAAAGCTTCTTGGCCGGACTACAGAATATTAGCACAGCAATTTTGGATTTATGTGGAAAGTTTATAAACTAAGTAAGCAGTCTGCCCCCTAGGTTTTCACAAGGCTCTCTAGACAAGGTTAGAGAGAATAAAAGTGTGTACGCTGACACATCAATCAGCCACACTTGAACAAAGAAAACCTATTTCCTGTCATAATAGGCAAACGTGTGCATGGTAAATTCTTCCATCTGTAACTAGGAATAAAGAAAGCATTTGTCCCAAATTATTGTAAAGATAAAACAAATCACTGTAAAGGATCTTTTAAAGTGAGATAGACCTTCAGTAAGTGCTGACTTAAGTTTAATTTCAATACTGATAGTAAATACATTTTCAAAATCACTGTTCTTATGAATATATATTAAAATAATATTCCAATTATAATCAAGATTAGAGCAAAAGTTGGCTTAGAATCCAAAGCATACTAATAGAGTCATCCACTTGGGGTTTTGTTGTAGTTCTTTATTAACTTAAATCAATATTACATAATAATGTGTTGAACTATGACATTTTCATATAGTGCCTTTCCTCTTCCCAATGAGTCCTTTTTTGGGTTTTTGTTTGTTTGTTTGTTTTTGGTTTTTACAAGACAGGGTTTCTCTGTATTGTTTTGGAGGCTATCGGTCCAGCCTGGCCTCGAACTCACAGAGATCCGCCTGCCTCTGCCTCCTGAGTGCTGGAATTAAAGGCGTGCTCCACCACGGCCCGGCCCAATGAGTCCTTCCATTTGTGTGTGTGTGTGTGTGTGTGTGTGTGTGTGTGTGTGTGTGTGTGTGTGTGTGTATTACAATGAGGTTCATCATTAAGGATGCTTACAGGCAAGTAGGTATCATACCAATGGATACAACACTGAAGAAAATGCACCACCACCCCCCAGCAATCGTTAACGGCTTAAACTCCTCAGAGATAGATGGGGCCTCTCATCCATTTGTCTCTTAAGGTCATACAGCAAATATTTGTAACTCTTTATCCCAAATAAAGAGAAATATGTTAGTCAGGGGTATTGACTGTTTTTGACATTGCAACACAATGCTGTCATCTACAAACGTGTTGGGCTATGTTCATAACTATCCTCAGATACATGGGGCCCATGGGCCACAGGTTGGACACGCCTGTTAGATGAACTGTAAACATGAATTTGCTTGTGTCAAATGTAGTCTCTTGTACTTAACTGAGCCTTGTATCTCTGTGGATGAATTATCTACATTGAAATCCATTTGGGAAATTTTACTTTGAAGCTCTATGGGAAAACATCAACAGAAAAGATGATGACATCACTTAAGCACACTGTAATTACCCATGAATTGCTTTTGTGGTCATCTGATACAATCTTAGCTGTAGGCCACTGAAGCTGGAATCCTAGATTATGTGAAAAGAAAACATTTCTATCTCAGAGAAAACTCCACTTCAAAACATACCTCGTAATTGTCAAAAACGCTGAAAGCAACCCACATCCCTCTTCTCTGCCCCCATCCGGTCCTCCATCATTAGCTATACTGATGCTTCCAAATGTAAATTTTATACAACTATACATTTATTGTACAAACCTATGTACTTAAAAAGAGAAATTTTAATTTATATACACACAGTCTGCTGAAAATGCTTACCATCTCCTGAGAGATTTCAGAATATCTCTTCCCAACTCCTTTGGTGCCATTGCTCTCCAGCTTAATATCAGCCCTTGAAAAGTATTTACATCATAGAAACTGGCAAATACTACAAAACAGAACTTCTGTCTCCTTTAAACACGCATGCATACACAATTCTCGGCCTTCTTGACACCCTCCAGTGGGTTTCTGCTGTGCATGACACAAACCTTGGACATCTTTCAGGTCTTCCTTTGACAATTCATGGTTGCTTATCTTGAGAACACGGTCTGATGGGTTTTATCTTCTTGGCTGTATAAAAAGGCATGCTTGCTTCAGGGCCAGCAAGATGGTTCAGTGAATAAAGGTGCTTGCAACCAAGCCTAATGACCAGAGTTCAGTCCCTAAGACCCACATGGCAGGAGAGAACCAAACTGAACCTCCACATGCATGCTGTGGCACATGAAGGCGCGTGCACACACACACACACACACACACACACACACACATACACATGCTTGCTTGTGCACACAAAATAAAAATGAAAAAATATAATTTAAAATAATTTAGAGTAGCATTTTCTTTCTGTGCTTGCAATCTCTCAGTGAATCATGTGTGCTGTGTGGCACATGATGGCTTCATGTTTATTTTCTAATAAAACTGTTGTCTTGGGACGGGAGAGATTTCTCAGTGGTTAGGGACCCTGGTTGCTCTTCCAGGACTGGGGTTCAATTCTCAGCACCTACTTTGTGATTCATACTGCCCATAACTCCAGTCCAAGGAAATCCAACTCCCTCTTCTGCCTTCCAGGGTACCATCCATGCAGTCCAAACACCCATACACATAAAATGATAAAAATTTCAAAAACAGTTTTTAACACCAACATGAAACTTCACTTAAATGCATGCTTCAGTGCCACTGAATACAATCACAGCTTTATAGGACCAACTTCACAACCTAGCTCCAAACCATTTTCTTCACCAGGGAAAACTTCTACCACCAATCAGCTCGCACTCTAGTCCCTAATGCACACCTCAGTCCTGGAAGGTAGCAATCTGCTTTTGGTTGCTATGGAGGTCAGGACTACTCACAGCAACTAGAGCTGAAAACAACCCAAGCTGCCATCATGAATGAATGGACAATTGCATGCCAGATAGAGTGGGCATTATTCCACCACAAAGTCTACGAGGACTATAACCAAAAATAGCTTTTGTGTTTGTGTGTGTGTTTGTGTGTGTGTGTCTGTGTGTGTCTATGTGTGTGTGCGTGCTGCTAATTGTTTTGGCAAATTTTCTCCTGTCAAAGCCCAGGGATGTCACTTCAGGGACTGAAGTTTTTAGACACCTCGCTCTTTTAGAGAGACAGCCGCATGAGTGTCAAATGCAAGTGTGCTGCCACGGAGCACACTGTGGTCTTCAAAGCCATCAAGGGCTCTGCGTGACCAGGGGCGATCTGATGCCTCAGAACTACCTGAGAAGATGAAAGCAAGGCACAGAGAGGGGACAGGGCCAAGCAGCAGATGTGACTGAGAACTCGGCTCAGAGAGCTGGAGAGCCTTCTGTCAGCAGTAAGAAATGATGGCGGCAGACGGATGTACAGCTCTGGATGGGAGGTCCAGCGTTCTGGAGGCTGAGGCCGGAGGACCGAGAGTTCAAGGCTGATTTGGGTTACAGAGAGAGACCCTGTCTCCAACAGGATCTTAGTAAAGCCAACCTATCAACCAACCAATCAGGAGGCAGTGGTAAATGGGGAGGTTATGCTATGTTGTTACAGAAGAGCAGCATTAGGGCAGTGTGTTGTTTGCAATTTCCAGATGTAAAAGTTTGTGACTGAAGGCAAAAGGTGTCTGAAAATGTATTAAACTTTTATTATCATTATTATTATTATTATTATTATTATTATTATTATTTTGGGGATAAACCAATGAAGAGAAAACAGTGGGTGCCAAAAACCCAACAAGGCAGCAAAAACTGTTCACAAACTTCAGAACCCACTGTGTGTAGTGTGGTGTTTCAGACCACAGTGTACAGGCATCCAGTGCAACATAGAACAGTGAGGATATGACACAGGCATGCGCACTGCCATGCTTAATTATTTTTCATAAAAATATAGCTGCATATATTTAAGTACACAAGAAAATAGAGCTTAACTATCAAAAGCATATGGGTCAAACAATCTACAAAAGTATCTACGGCCACACTCATGCTTTCAGATTAATGGTGAGATGTTTTAGAGAGGCCGGAAGCAGTTTCCCTAAATTCTCACACAGCGCTGACCAGATTCAGCGGCTTTCATTCAGCACTGACGCCCTCCTTCTGTGACGGTCCAGAGACGACTTCCAGAGAGTTTAAAACTACAACCCTTTTTATTATTCTGTTTTAAAGGTAAATACTACTGGTGGTTAAACTCCTACTTATTGTTAAGTGGGAAAGGACAGAATAACTTTTATATCTTCAGAATATCATTAAAACAAAGGCACAGGCAGGGCAAGATGGCTCAACTTGTGCGGGTACTTGCTGCTAAGCCTGGAGACCCAAGTTTGATTCCCAGAAACCACTCTACTAAGTTGCCCTCTAACTTACACACACACACACACACACACACACACACACACACACACACACACACACACACAGGTTTTAAAGCTGTCCTCAGTTTTAAATGAAAGTCATAGTACAAGAGTAATTTGAAAAATAATAATAATAATTTTTGAGACAGGATCTCACTATGTAGCTCTGGCTGATCTGAGATTCTCTATGTAGACCAGGCTAGCTTCTAATTCCCCAGCCTCCAGAATGCTGGGATAAAAGGCATAGAACACCACACCTTGATTTGTAAATGTTTTTATTTTCCACACTTCACACTTACTGTATGTCAGTCATTGTTCCTGTCCTTACAAATAAAATGTATGGATGCCTTGTGGTAGCCCTCCAAAGCTGGGACCGGTGTCTTTGTTTTACAGGTGGGGTGCGAAGGCCCGGAGACATTAAGACACTTTCTCGGGGTCACAAAGCTAGTCAAAAGTTGAATAAGTTAGGAAATAGAAAAGTGAAAATACAGCTCCAGGATTTTCAGTGGTCACACCATGTCCACCTTTTGCAAGCTGAAGATATTTCCCACGGATGCAGTTATATAAAGTTATGAAATTCCGTATCAGCCTACTCAAACCACATGGTGCTGAACTGAAACTCTATAGAGCCAAGGAAATGCTGCTCATGCCCCATCTCAGTATCTATCTCAGAGTGCTGGGTGATGTTTGTTAAGTTTACCACAGAACAGACTCCCCACTTAGGCGTCAGCGCTCTAGACCAGTTTGGAGCACAGAGACAAGGATGCGAACCCACATATC